TTTAATATATTAAATTCTTTCACTGTTGCTCAAGGGGAAAATTCTTGTTGGGACAAGAAATGCCGAAATAATCGAAGTTGGAGAGAAGAATGCTGCGTGCAACATCCTAATCAACGGCCACATGGACGGACCCATCTGGGGCCTGGCCACGCATCCCTCCAGGGACTTTTTCCTCTCTGCTGCAGAGGACGGCACGGTCAGGCTGTGGGATATTGCAGAGAAGGTAGGTGTTGGAGAGCAGCTGCTGCTAGGACAGACATCCTAGACTTGTGGTGCTGAGGCCTTGAAGCTTGTTTTTAATGGATTCTGAGAATAATCCATCCCATCGTGGCAACCTGTTGGCATGAGGTACTTCTGAAATAGGAACAAATAGAAACATCGACTCTTCCGGGTTTTTCTTTCTTCACAGAAGATGCTGAACAAAGTCAGCTTAGGACACGCGGCTCGCACGGTTTGTTACAGCCCAGAAGGCGATATGGTGGCTATTGGCATGAAAAACGGAGAGTTTATCATCTTGCTGGTGACCTCTCTAAAAATCTGGGGGAAGAAACGGGACAGAAGATCAGCAATTCAGGATATCAGGTCAGAAAATACAATGCCTGTGTCTGTTGTAGTGTTCTAGAAATCGGTATTACCGTGATTTTTAAAAACACAATTTTATGTTCTGAGGAGCATTGCAATATTTCAGAGAGCTGGAATCAGTGAATGAATTGTGGAAGGTCTGGGTTTTCCTCATTGAAAACATTGCATTTCTCTAGTTTGTAGCCTTGTAAGTAGAGCATTAGAGTCAAAGTCATCAGGACACGTCACAAAGTTGTTAGAGCATTGGGGTGCCAGTGAGACCAGAAAATGAAGAGAGTTACCCCAGAGATGTTCCCAGTTCACTTACGTGTGACAGCTGTACCAAGATCATTGCCACCTTCTGCTGCAGATACCTTCCCTGGAAAATTGATTTGTTTCCAAAGTTGTTTTGCATATCGGATGAACACTGCCCCCCTCTTTGGTTCTGGATAGCACAGACTTGAAATGCAGATGTACCTGTGCTTCTCAACTATTGGAATGTGCTGTAAGTGCCAACCCGTGCTATAAAACCCCTTCCTCTGCTCAGGTTCAGCCCCGACTCTCGTTACTTGGCTGTCGGCTCCAGTGAGAACGCAGTGGATTTTTATGATCTGACTTTGGGTCCCACGCTGAATCGGGTCAGCTACTGCAAAGATATCCCGAGTTTCGTCATCCAGATGGACTTCTCTGCAGACAGCTCGTATCTCCAGGTATCAGTTGTTAGTTGATCAAGGTACTTAATGGAAAACCTGCTCATGAGAGATGCTCTGCAAGTATTGCCCTTTGACTCCTGCGAGATTTGCTGATGAAGAGATGGAGTCCTAGGTTACTGTCACTGGGCTGTTACTTTGCAGTGATTAGTGGGTGACAAAAATGGTTATGCTGGATATGAAATACAAGAAATAAGCATAGAAAGGAGAAACGGATTTCAGAATCACTGCAGTGTGTCTCCCTGCCTTCTCACCTCTGTGATGCTGTGGGATCTCTTAGCAGAGGAAGGGCTGTCCTTCTGTAAGTCCCACGAGTTCTTCATGGTCCTGACCAGGACGGTAGCATCACACATTGCTTTGGTGCTGACATTCCTGAACAGCACCAAAATCCTGCTGCTACAACCCCCAGCCACGGGGTACAAGTCATTTCTTAGAACCAAAATGAAGCAGGCACACTTTGCTTTCTGTTTTGTTCACATCTGAGAGGAGGAACAAGCTGCTTTTCCTATCAAAGCAGCATCTGCAGGCTGACTGGGTACCTTGGTGTCAGCTTTACAGATAAGAGTTTATTTTGCCTTATTTGTGTATACACACTCACGTACTAATACACACAATACAGAGAGACCATTAATATGTGCAGAATGCGAGATGTGTCCATTATTTTTATGAATTAGTCATTTTAAATTTTAAGATTTACACTTTATGCTTGTATAGATTTGTGAGAATTTCCAACCATTGAGCAAGTCGTCTGAATAGCTATGTACAGAGTAAGAGAACTACCAAGGAAATGCTTTTCAAGGTCCTTTGGAATGATGTTTTTGTCTTTTCAAACAAGCTCCCGTATTCTAAATTCTCTGTGGTCTCTCAAAGGTCTCTACTGGGTCTTACAAGAGGCAAGTCTATGAAGTGCCTTCAGGAAAACAGCTTGTGGACCAGGCTGTGATTGACAGAATTACATGGGCCACTTGGACAAGGTAAATGACCCCCACATTCACACTTCTTCAAACACTTGTAGGCTGTTTAAAAGCTGATTTCATCCCATTCAGTCAGGTATTCTCACTGAACACACCCATCTGCTGTGGCAACAGCTCAGGTAAGTGCTGTGCAGCAAAGGGAAGCCCATGGCAGGTTCCCCAGTGGAACAGGAGCTGTTTGACATCGGATAACAAACGATTTGTGTGCCTCTCTGCTCACTGCGGATCTCTGGCTGCCTGTGAAACACCCCTGGCAGCCTCAGCAGGATCTCATTGCACTGCCAGAATTACCTGGGATGCTGCACTGTTTTCTTCAAAATAGCAATCTGGGGATAAGAATGCAGGGAAAATTAAAGCGTATCAAAGCATGAAACGAGTGTGATAATTCAGTGTTTATTTACAGCATTGCACTGCATTTGTATGTTCAAGTTGTTATTAACATTTCATATTAAAAGGTAGACAAAAGTACTTCTAAATACCGTAAAGTTACTGTATTTCACTCAAAACAGACTTAGAAATTACATGAAGAATGATTCCCTATTTTATTATTTCACATGTAAATAATTTATTATTTTATTTAATAATTTTCTCTCCAATTATGATTTAGAGTCTTCGCTGGACTCAAGGAAACTTCTCATCTGATTGATATGAAAACGTTACAGCATGAACAAAACAGGGTTATAATGAGAATACACATACTTTTATTTTCCAGAAGCTGGTACTTGCTCATCCGATGCTTATGCTATGACATTCTGGTTTTAATTATCCTTTCTTTATTCAGTTTTTGGGCAAATGCCTCACTGGACAATATTAATGCTATTGATTTCACCTCTGCTTCTTAGCGTTATCATGGGCCGTGTTATTTTGAGAATTTAATCACCGAATCCATTTCAGAAGCAATTATGGGATGACATAAAATGTAATTACAGAGTAAAACCTGTGCAAGATGTGTGTGTGCAGGAATAAACTGCGACAATTTCATTACTCCATGAAAGCCGCTCACCATTTCCTTATGCTGTGGTTTC